CACTGTGAAAAAAAGGATGGTGGGTCCTCAAAAAATTAAAAATGGAACTAGCTTTTGGTTTTGTACTGAATACCAAACTCAGGACCTTGTGCTTGCGAGGCAGGTGTGTGCCACTGAGCTAAATCCCCAGGCCAAAAATGGAATTAGTTTTATGATCCAGTAATTCTACTTCTGCATATTTAATTCTCTAAGGGATTAAAAACAGGGGGCTGGTGATTTAGCTCAGGGGTTCGGTGGCCTTCCTTGCAAGCGCAAGGACCCCAGTTCAATCCCCGGTACCAAAAAAAAAAAAAGAGAATTAAAAACAGGTTCTTTAAGAGATATTTGTAGCACCATGATTATAGTAGCATAACTTACAATAGCTAAAATGTGAAAGCAACTCAAGTGTCCACTGACAGATAAACAGATAAGCAAAATTTGATATACATGTACAATGGAATAATATTTAGCCTTTCAAAGGAAGAAAATTCAAACCAGGCATGGTGATGCATGCCAATAATCCCTATTACTTGGGAGGCCTAGGTAGGAGGATTACAAGTTTGAGGCCAACGTGAGACACTTAACAAGACGCGTAAAAAAATAAAAATAAAACGGACTAGGGATACAGGTCAGAGGTAGAGTGCCTGTAGCTCTGCTTCCCAGTACAGGAATAGGAATGGAAGGGAGAAAAGGATGGAGGGAGGAAAGGTGACTCAGACAGAAAAGAAAAGCAGAGGAGAGAAAGAGGGAGGGGAGGAGGGAGGGAGGGAAGGAAGAAAAAGGGAAAAAAAGTTCTAACACATGGTAAAACATGGAAAACTTTGAAAATATTATGTAAATTAAATAACCTAATCGCAGAAAGATAAATTTGGTACCATATGAGGGGCTACAAGAGGTACTCCTCCGAGGTACCTAAAATAGACAGTCATAGAAACAGAACATAGAAGGGTAGAGGCCAAGGCTGGGGAAGGGGATATGGATACAGAGTTTTGGGCTTGCAAGACAAAAAGCTTCCAGAGATGACTGCACGATAATGTGAATATACTTACAACTAGGGAACTGTATAATTAAAAATGGTTAATGTAATAATATGAAGTAATAAAAGAAAATCTAGCTAGTACTTAATCACAAGAGTAACAACTAAAACAAAACACAGAAATTTGAAAATAAATGAGAAGATAGGCCAGAAAAAAAGCCAACAAAATGCAGATACAGCAATATTATGTAATATCAGACAAGACAGAATTAAAAGCAAAAATAAATAAAACGATTATTATATTTTTAAAGGTATAAAAAGACAAGAATTATAAACTTGAAGTGCTTAAAAACATAGTTTAAAAGTGCCAGACTTGGTGGCACATACCTGTAATCCCTGCACTTGGGAAGCTGAGGTAGAAAGACTGCTGCAAGTTTGAGGCCAGCCTGGTTTACATAATGAGTTCAAGGCCAGTATGAACTGCATAATGAGACCCTGTCTCAAAAAACAAAACAAAACAAAACACACATAGCTTAAAAATACATTTAGAAAATATACATTGTGTGTGTAAGGATAGACTCACATAAATCATAGTGGAATCTTTAACATAAATCTCACAGTCAACAGGTCAAATAGTAGAAAATCAAAATAGGAAAATACAGAACATAAACTATCAATGAACTTAAGGTAAATACATAACTTTGTACCCAATATGTGAAGGCTACTAGGAACAGTCACAAAAATTGACAATTCATTAGACTACAAATTGGCATGTTTTTTAATCTTCTTTCAGCAACGTGGCAACATAGAGCTGTCAAAACCTTCTAACTACAAAGCATCTTTTATAAATGCTAGAAAAATATGTAAAAATGACTTTGAAGTCAGTGGAAGAGAGAAACACGAGGAAGCCAAATCCATGGCATGTCTTTGAAGAATGCAGAAAAAAAGGAATTTCCGGATTTTATAAAAACAGAATTTATCATCACCAAAGGAACTTGGAAGAGCAAAATGGTCCAAAGAAGAGTATCTGTGATATAAGAAGGAATGGAAAGTGAAGAACATAGAAATAGGTAGATAAATCCGATAAATACTGACCTAGAAGATACTGACAGTTGTAATGTCTAATTCAAAAGTTTAAAGTAAACATACAGGCTGGGCATGGTGGCGCACACCTGTAATCCTAGCACTTGGGAGGCTGAGGCAGGAGGATCACTGTGAGTTCGAGATCAACCTGGGCTACATAGAGAGTTCCAGGTCAGTATCAACTACATAGTGAGACCCTGCTCAAAAAACAAAAAACAACAACAACAAAAAAGTAAAAATACACTTGAAGCGGGGCTGGGGATGTAGCTCAGCGGTGCCCTACCTGCCTGGAAAGTACAACATCCTGAGTTCAATCCCCAGTACTGGCGATAAAAAATATAGTTAAAGTTAAATATGAAGTGAACAGGGGGCCAGGGAGTTAGCTCAGTGGCACCGTGCCTGCCTTGCAAGTGCAAGGTCTACAGTTCAATCCCTTGTACAAAAAAAAAAAAAAAAAAAAAAAAAAATAAACAGTGCTATGCCTGCCTCACAAAACACAAGGTCCTGAGTTTGATCCCAATTACCACACCAAAAAAAAAAAGAAAAAAAAAATGTGAGGTGAACAGAATGAAAGAATTAGAAGTCCTTGCCTTGTTTAGGAGGAGGAGGAACAATTGGTTAAATAAATGATTCAACTTTTCAATTCAGAAGGCTAGAGCTTTAACAAAATAAATTTAAATTAAGTAGAAAGATAAATATTAAGAACAGAAATTACTGATGTAGAAGTATAAACATCAGTAGCACTAACCAATAAATGCCAAAGCTGGTTCTTTGAAAAGATTAAGAAAATAAGCAATAATTAAGCAAGTCTGACGAATAAAAAAAGACAAAAGGGATAAAAGGGCATTAGTATTAAGAAAGATAACATCACAGATATATGTTTATTTTCCAACAACAAACTATATAAAACATTGTGCTACCATATGTTAAAATTCAATAATATTAAAATTCAACTTTTTAGGACAATTAAAATTAGAAAAATTAGAAAATAAGAAAAAAAATCAATGATCATGGAAAAAAGTTAAAAAGTGTTTAACTTTCTAAAATTCAAGCAGGGCTGGGCGGGGGGTGCATCTCAGTGGCAGACTAACTTGCCTAACTTAGGTTAGGCCCTGGATTCAACCCTCAGCACTGCAAAACAAAAACAATACAAAACTCCAGCAGTCTGCAGTCAGGTTCTGCCAAACTTCAAGAAACAGATTATTCTTCTGTTCCAGAGCACAGAAAATGATGAGAAATTTTCCAACTCAATCAGCATGGAAAGCATAATTCTCATTATGAACTCACAAAAATGGGGGAGAAAGAAAACTATACCAGTCTCACTTATAAATATGGATACAAATTAAACAGTCAGGTACCACTGAATCTACCAAACTAACCAAAAGTGCACTTGAAAGGGTCCCAGGATTTTAGAGAAAAAAATCCAGCCAATATAGTCATTTATGGCAACACTTCTAACAAGGAAACCTAAGTGGTCATATCAATACAGGATGTACAAACACATTTGGGAAAAATAAACACTTTAAAACTCTTAGTAAGGGGGTACTTAACACAAGGAAGTATACAGTACTTAATGAGTATAGAACGGAAGCATTTTCCTAAAACCCATCTCAGCCCAAAGATGCCCTATTTAACCTTAAAAGACAACAATGTAGAGAGGGTGACCAATGGACACAAGAAATAAGAGTAACATGAGACAGACATAGGTTGTTGCTCACAAACAATGAAATTATCTACCTGGTAGAGCCAAACAAATCAACTGGAAAAACGATCATTAAAACTGATTCAGGGGCCGGAGAATTAGCTCAGTGGTTCTGCCACCTACCTTGCAAGCTCAAAGTCCCGATTTTGATCCCTGGTACCAAAAAACAAACAACAAAAAACGGATTCAGAGTTTAGTATGGAAAAGACTGCTTCAGATCTACCAAATGAAACGTGCTGTTTTGAGCATTAATCGTGCAAAGCTGTTTTCTGTAGAGTAAGTCATGAGGACTGACAAACTCATGCCACCACTCTCCTTCCCCATCTTCAACGTTGAAACGACACACTGTCTGGGAGTGGATAACCAAATCTTCTAAAAACAAAAGTCATTCTGAAGGGCTGCACTGTGACTCTAGTAAAAAACACTTTATCTCTCCCCTCCAGCCACTGCAGTTACTAATGGATAAGCATGTTAACAGTTCAACACAATTTATCCGATACAGGGAAAGGAAGAGCACCTTTACGAGAAATTTTTTAAGCCTATACTGCTTATTATGTAAACTTGCGTGCTGTCAAATGAACCTCCCACAAAACAAAAATTATCTATTCAGAGTCAAACCTGCTTTTAAAAAATGAATAGGCATGCACAACTAATTTTGTTTTAAAGGCCTTTGGGAAAGCGGGCTGTTACCTTCGCACTGACCACAGGCTCGGCATCACCCGGACACCCGCAAAC